AAAAGAGGAATCGCGGAAGTTTTATGCCTGTTCAGCCTGTAGAGATCGAAAAGATTGCAATTTTTTCCAGTGGGAAGATGAAAAGGTATGTCAACTTTGTGGATGTATTTTCATAAAAAGAATTTTGGTGTGAGTTTTATTGAGAATATCTAAATCAATAATGAATACAATTCAGACATTTGAGATAAATCTATTAAGAGAGATGAAGATACTGTATTTTTTGATTTGGGAGATTGGGGGAGTTTATATTTACTCTGAACTTGAATTATGCATGTCTTACTGTCTCAAAGACTTAGTTTCCCTAAAGACTCTCTGAGCTGTTAGTATTGGATCCTTCGTTGTACCTTGGCCTGCTGTGACAAGAATACCGTAAACTGGGTGACTTAAACAACAAGCATTTGTTCCTTACGATTGTAGAGGTTAGTAGGTCCGCGATCAAGGCCTTGACACAGCCGCGTCTACTGAAGTCCTGCTTCCTTGTTTGCAAACACAGTCTTGTATCTTCACTTTGATGAGAAAGAGAAAGTTCTTTTCTTGTAAGGCACGAATTCCATTCATGAGGGTTCCATCCCTATGACTTAATTATACCTCCAAAAGCCTTACTCTAAATACCATCACACTGGGGTTAAGGCTTCAGCATATTAATCTGAAGCCCCCTTGGGTGGACACAAGCGATCAGTCCATAGTACTTTGTTTACAAATGTAGATTTCCCCCTAAAAAGTCTAGGTTATGATCATTCCAGGAAATATTAGAAAAACATTCAACTTACTAGAGGGAATGTGTGCTCACTGGAAAGAGATAGAGTGAGAGAGGGCAAGTGAGAAGTCCCCTCCACATGGACAGTCACGCCACAATCCCTTCTTCTCCATTTTTCCTTTTGGGATTTTGGACACACTGCACCTGGTACAACACATGCCTGGCATGTTTTTCAAGCTGCAGGATCCAGGATTCAAACCATGCAGATTCACATGGGATTCATTTGCCTTAACCACCATGCCACCAACTGGCTCGAAAAACACTTTTTTTTTTGGGATATTTCCATGGAACATTCTTTGTGACCCATGAAGGCACTTGGAGATGTAGTAGTAGCTTCGTATGTTCTTGGACTCGGTTCCTATGAAAATTTCTGAAAGCTTTGTCTGTAGAGAACGTTCAGCGTGGTTAGGTTTATTGGAAAACCATCTTGTATACTCTTCTGCAGACCCAGTAAGGCAAGCGTGTGTGAATCGATTTCTCAGCAGTTTAACACGTTGGCTGTTGATTCACACTGCCGCATGTTTTCCCAGTTTTCTGTTTCTCTGAAGTGAATGCTTGTGTACAACAGAGATCTGCTTGAATTTCTGGCTCTTTGCTGTCAGAACATGATACCAATTTTTCTGGGGTGCTTGTGAGTTTGCTATTAAATGAGTCTCTATTCTCTTTCAGTTGTCAGAAGCAAGACTTGCTGCCCGGGAAGCTCAAAACCAAAGATGTCGGCCTCCTTTTTCCCGAGCGCAGTGTGTGGAAAGGTACTGCTGTGCGGTCATTTTTATCTTTTCTTGTCTTTTCCTTGCTCTTCTTGTCTCTTTACTTCTTTTTCTTTACATTAGAGAGAGACAGAGTGAGAAATCACCTCCCCAGAGAGATGACCTCATTGCAATCCCTTCTCCATTCTCTTTGGATTTGGGGCATGCATGCACATGCCTCTGGTCTGTTTTTTAAGCATTGCCATGTGAGGTCCAACTGCCTCTAGCACTATGTCACTGGCTGGTCTTCATTTTAGATATAATTTTTCATTTCTTTCTTGTGCCTTTAAGTTTACTTTCGTTCATTTGTTTTCTTCTTTTAATGCCAGAGGGTGCATGCATGAATGAGAGAGAGAGAGAGAGACAGACAGACAGACACACACATACACAGAGACCGCATACTCTCGCTGAGGCCTAGTCATGCCACAATCTTTTTTCCTCCAGTTCTCCATCCTGTAAGGATCCTGGGCATGCATGTATGTGCCTGGCATGTCTTTCAGCTATCAAGGCTGGGACTCCAACTTCGGTCAGCCATGCGGATCAGTTCTGGAGGGCTTAGCGTCTGCACCACAGTGCTGGCCTTCATTCATTTATCTGTATTGTGTTAAAGTATATATAACATATGGGGCCAGTGGGTGGCATAGTGGTTAGGGCACTGGACTCCCATGTTTGAGTCCTGGACCTAGTGGCTTGATACTCACGCTGGGCACATGTGTGTGTGCCCAAAATCTCGAAGGAGAATGGAGGAGAAGAGATTGCTGCTTGACCATCTCCCCAGGGGGTGATTTCTTGCTTTCTGTCTTTGTCTCTCTGGTGAGTTTATATGACCTATAGTAAAAATCTTTCACACACACACAAAAAAGTTAACCAGTAGGTACTTTGGTGATTAAGGCACTGGACTCCCACATGGCCAAATGTGGTTTGAGTCCTGGACCTGGCAGCTTGCTTTCTCACTTTCCCTTTCTGTTTCTTAAAAACAATGCATGCTATAGGGTGCTTATACTCGCTGGAGAGACAGAGACAGTGAAAATAACACCCCAAGGGGGATGGCCACACTGCAACTCCTCCTCCATTCTCCTCTTGGGATTTAGAGGACACATGGATACTTGCCCGGCGTGAGTTTCAAGCGGATAGGTCTGGGACTCGAACCACAGTTGTCCATGTGGAAGTCCAGCGATGTAACAGTTACTCCACTGCTGGTCTCGGTGTCCGTCCCGTTATCATCACATCAAAAGGCAGGTGGTGTGTGCTGTTCACTTCTTGGTAGGAGGACTGATCGTGCCCTCGGGTGGGAGGCAGCCCGAGCCAGCCGTGGTGACGTTCCTTATCCCCCTGCCCCGAGGCTGTTAGCAGTAATGAATGACCATTGCCGCAGATCGCAGCAGGACCGATTATCATTTGCTCATTTATTAGCTATACTTCTCCTATAAAGAACTTTTTTTCCACCTGTTGGCTTACCTTGTCATATTGGGTCTTCAGAAAAGTCATGGCATGGTTTGCTTACGGCAGCATTTAGAAAAGTATGTCGTGACTTCCCCAATGACCCAGTAGTTCGTGTGGGGAAAGATTAATGTTTAATTCTTCCCCTCCGTACCTCTTAACTAGTTTTCAGAAATCAGCTGATATCCCACTTGCACGTGCATAATCAGGGTCAATATTCTGGCTTTTTAAAAATGATTATTATGATTAAATTTTTCTCTGAGGGCACATGTGTTCACTAGAGAGAAAGAAAGAGAGAGAGAGGGAGAGAAAGAACCCCATGGGGTATGGTCATGCTGCGATCTTTTTTGCTCCATCTCCTTCCTCAAGATTTTAGGAACATGCATACATGTGGGGGCCATATTTTTTAGGCCACTGGGTCCGGGACTTGAACCATATGGTCAGCCATGTGGGATCCAGCTGTCTTACCACCAGGCTGTTAGTTGGCCCTCTGTTTTCACTATCACTGTGAAAGCATGTATTTAAAAACTGGTGTTTCTAAGTCTATCAAAATCATTCTTATTTTTTTTTTTCTTTTTAATTGCCAGAGAGTGTGTGTGCCCCTCAGACAGAGAGAGGGAGAGGAAGAAAGCACCCTCCGATGGGCACGGTCACACTGCAGTCCCTTCTCCATTTCTCTGTCTTGCCGGGATTTGGGGTATGCACACACACACACCCATGGTTTTCAAGCCACTGGGTCTGGGATTTGAACCGCAGATGGCCATGTGTGATCTGACTCCTTTAACCACGAGGCTGTGGGGCTGGCCCATGTTATTATTTTTTATATAGCGCTTTTTGAATTGGACTTGGGGTTATATGTAGGGTGGCCATATAATTTTAATCGAAGCCTGGAGTTTTTCAAAGTGATATGGGTGACCAACCAGACAGCAGATACAAAGCGGGACTGTCCTGGGCAAACGGGTCTACAGTTACACTAGTGAGATGTGGATTAAGGAAAACGAACTTTCCCCCCTCATAGTTTTAGCTTTACTGAGGTGCAATAATATTCGTACACTAAATTGCACATATTAAAATGTGTAATTTGGGCCTACCTCATCACACATGGTTAAGTGCTGTTTACGGAAAGCTGCACCCCGCGTGGCTGACTGCAGTGTGAATCCCAGCCCTGGCAGATGGAAGAACACAGCGAGCACAGGTGTGTGCAGGCCTAAAATTCCAGTGGGATGGGGATGAAGAAAAAAGGGTTGTGGCATAGCCGTGTCCTCTTGGGAGGTGCTTCCTTCCTCTCTTTCTCTCTCTCTCTGCCTAGCACATGTATCTTTTGACAATTAAAAAGTAATAAAATCTACATTTGATGAGTTTTTCTGGTTTTTTTTTTTTTTGGACAGGTTTTTGCTATAGGGAGCGTGTGCTTGCCAGACAGACAGAGAGAGACAGAGAGACAGAAAGCGAGAAATCACACCCCAGGGGGGATGGCCACGCCGCGTGGGAATTCAGTGGTGTAGACATTGTGTCATCTGCTGGTCCCTCAATAATCTTTAATAAATTTAAGGAAGAAAAACAAAAACAAAAGAAATGGTGATTTTGAAGCCAGATGTAAAGGTGATGTGAGCGAGATCAAATGGGATATCCAATATAATGGCTTTTAGGGCTTCACATCTTGTCTTGCTGCTTTGGGGATAAACTTACAACTACCTCCGTCATTACTGCGAAGAGCAGAGGAGCTCTGTGGGAACGTCTTTTCTTTTAGGAGGTCGTTTATCTTGCTAAGTATGCCATAAGAACTTGAAGAATGGTCTTAATTTCTCATTTTAAAATGACTGTCAACTCAGCCAGACTGTCTTTCCCACTTAGTCGGCACGCAGCCAGACAGAACTTCCAGCCCACGTTCCCCCGAGTTTTCTTACCTTTGCTTTTTATGCACGCCTCTTCAGGAACTAAGACTACTTTGGGATTCTAAAAATAGCAAGAATTTATCATCATGAAAACAACAAACTGAGGCTAGTCATGGTAGCTAAGCAGTGACGTGGTGCTGCTTGGTGCTGAAGTCACAGAGGAAGGTCTTGGGTTCACGCCCCAGGGTCTCCTCTACGTGCTGGGTACACACTTGTGCACCTGGGGATGCGGCTGGCTGAAGGCGGAGAGGGGTCACAATGGGAGGACCCATTGGGGTGTCCACTTCTCCCTCCCTGTCTTTCTCATGGCAGAAATCAATAAACTTAAAAAGCAACAACAAACTTAAAGTACGTTGCTTTGCGCTGTACTGTGTCTTGCAGGTACTTGAAGTTTATTGAGTTGCCCTTGCCTAAGAGAAAGTTTTGCCAAAGATGTCAGCAGTTGCTGTTACCCGATGACTGGGAGAAGCATGGTGAGCACCCGGTGGTGGGCGATATCTCCGTCCTCCAGCTAAGAAGGCCCAGTGAGCTCCTTTACCCACTGGAGAACAAGAAGACCAACGCCCAGTACTTGTTTGCTGATAGGAGCTGTCGGTTCTTGGTCAATCTGCTTTCCTCCCTCGGATTCAGGAGAGTGCTGTGTGTCGGAACTCCAAGGTATGTGATACGATTTATAAAGTTAATTTTTCTGTTGCTTTTATTAAAACTAAGGTCATTGGGACCAGTAGTTGGCATAATGGCTATGTCGCTGAACTCCCATGTAGTCGACCACGGTTCAAGTTCCAGACCCGGTGACTTAAACTCACGCTGGGCATGTGTGTGTGTGCATGCCCAAGATCCTGAGAGGGGAATGGAGGAGAAGGGATTGTGGCATGGCCATCCCCCCGGGGGGGTGATTTCTCACTTTCTCTCTCTGTCTTTCTGGTGAGCGCACGTACCCTATAGCAAAAACCTCTCCCCAAAAAACCCAAAAAACCAAAAGCAAACCTAAGGTCATTATCAGTCAATTTCCGCAGAGGCAAATGTAGAACGCGGTCTCTCAAGGAGTTTGCAGCCTCTGTTCCATTTGCGAGAACTCCTTTCTGACATGTGACGGGGGATTCTCTCTGTCTTGGTTCCCAAGTTGTTTATAACTGCAGAGTTCTCTGTTTCGGGTAAGCTCTGCCCTTGAAAAAACAGTTGCAAAACAGAAATCTGGTTTATACCTGCCAAATTCTCGTCAGGGTTTTACTGAAATATCAGAAGCACGTTGATGGTTTTGGTTGGCTGTTTGCTTATTTCCTGCATTTGTGAGTTCTTATTACATTCGCTTTCACGAATTGCTCTAGGTTGCACGAGCTGATCAGGTTGACAGCATCAGGTGATGAGACGTCAAACATGAAAAGCCTTTTACTGGATATTGATTTTCGGTAGGTTCACAAAATACACCATTTATTCTCCTTCGTTGTCTCCTGTTTTTAAAGTTTTCTCTCTCTCTTTTTTTATTAAAAGAATTATTTGTTTTATTTATCATCATTATTTTTAAAATTTGGTACAGGGTGATTTGTTTTATTTATCATCATCATTATTTTTAAAATTTGGTACAGGGTACATGTGCTCACTAGAGAGAGAGAGAAGGAAAAAGAGAAAGCAAGTTTCCAGTTCAGGAGTCAAACCCCAGTTGGCCGTGTTCGGGAGTCTAGCACCTCAACCACCACGCCACCTGCTGGCCCCTGAAGTTTTTCTCTTGGTTGTTCGTAATCTGTTACAACTCTTCAGTTGACATTTGGGAGTAGTAACTGGTGATGAGTCACCTTTTTAGTCAAATAAACCCAACAGGTAATCTTCCATATTTCAGAGAGGGAGGCAGTTGATTTCTCTCTGTTTGTGTGTGAGTGCATCTGATTGTCTCTGGATCATGACTGAGAGATGGATTCCCACCGAACGAAGCCTCTTCTCATAGCCTTAATGTTCGGAGATGGTTCCGAACCTCTTCGTATTTGCATCGCATTTCCAGGATTGTTTCATCGTCAGATCTTGGAAGTGTGTGAAGATGTTTCCTCAGAGGTATCTTACTGGATAATGTGCATTTTGCCCGTAACTAGACATAGCCTGGGACGAAGGGAGTGGTAACGTGGGAACAGACAGATCCTCGGGCAGAGGAGCAAGTGGGCAAGCTGTGGGAGAGGTCCGGACCACGTGGCATCTGAGGAGAGGAGAGACAGTGAGGAGCTCTCACGTGGACTCCCCCGCGGGGCCACTTAGAAGACGCAGACCTCTGCTTTGCAGCAGACGGCAGGCGTGTCCCTCCACGGTCTCGACGTCTGTAGATTTGCCGCAATCCTTCCTGGTTTCCGTAATTGTCTGAGTCCAGGAGTTGGAGGTGAGTTCGGAAGACACTGCAATCTTAGCATCTTTCACTTGTTATTGAACGTATTGAAGGAATCAGACTTCATGTCTCTTTTTATTTAGATCTGGTAGAGTCTATTTGGCCAATATTCTAATATTGTTGAGAATCTACAAAATAAAATGTACCTTCTCTCCCTAACAATGGCATTGACAGATGTTTAAAGTGTAAAATGTCACATTAAAAAGTGTAGCTTTACGTTTATTTTTCTTCTTCTTTCTTTTTTTTTAGTTTTGTCATAGAGTGCCTGTTCTCGGGGACAGAGAGAGAGAGGAAGAGAGAGAGAGAGAGAGAGAGAGAACCCCTCAGGGGGATGACCACAGCACAATCCCTTCTCCTCCATTCTCTTCTTGGGGTTTTGGGCACATATGCACACACACCTGGCGTGTTTTTCAAGCCACTAGGTCCTGGACTTAGTCTACACAGTCGGCCGTGTGGATTCCGGCCACCTTAACCACCGTGACACCCACATTTATTTTTCTTTAGATTTACCAGGTTACCTGTAGGTCATATAACAAAGCTGCTACGTTTCTCAGAAATTACCTGCACTTTCCCGTTTCTTAGTATCAGGACTGGCCTGTTAACTATGCATCCCTTGTTAGCTGGACTAACACAGTTTACCAGTACCTGCTGGCCATGGGTGATAGTACAGAGTATCTTTTCAAAGATAAATTTTGTTTCTTTTTAAAAAATTGACATATAGGGACCTGCAGTTGGTGTCATGGCTCTGTTGCTGGACTCCCATGTAGTTGACCATGGTTCGAGTCCTGGACCTGGTGACTTAAACTCACACCGGGCGCATGTGAGTGCATGCCCAAGATCCCGAGAGGAGACTGGAGGAGAAGGGATTGCGGCGTGACCATCCCCTCTGGGCGGTAATTTCTCGCTTTCTGTCTCTCTTTCTCTCTCTGTCTGTCTGGCGAGTGCATGCGCCCTATAGCAAAAACCTCCCTCCCCCCCCAAAAAAAAATTGAGATATAATCTGCTTAACATTCATCATCATTTAAAAGTATGTAGTTCACTGTTTTCTAGTGTGTGTTCACTATGTGGTGTGATCACCACCACCGTCTACTTCCAGAGATTTTTTTGTAAGTGTATTTATTTATTCTGAGACAGAGAGAGAGAGAGAGTCAGAGAGACATCTCTGCCGGGTCCTCATGCCGTCACCCACTCCCAGCTTCAGCCAGCCTGGATCACGGGGCGTGGTGGGGTGTGGACGGATGCCTTGGGCTGTGGACCCGGGACGTCCCCTGTGGGTCCAGGGGAATTACAGCAGCGTCTAGCCCTCCTAGCTCGGTCTCTAGTAACGGGGTCTGTTGAAGAGTCAGTCCTGCAGAGGAGCAGCGGGAGGTGCTAAGAGGGAGCTGGCTTCCTGAGGTGCACCGTTAGCCAGGAGACGCGCGGGCGTATCCAGGGTGGTGGGGTGTGGTTGGTCGGTCTCTCACGAAGACTCCCAGTTACACCAGGAAAGCAGTGCCCGTGTGGTGTGGCGTGGTGGTCTTGGCACTTTCGCTTGGGGGTTTTCGTTGCCATGTGAAAAAGGCTGTGCAAGGCTGGGGAACTGCCTCGCCTCCGTACCACAGGATCTGCAGAGCGGACATGACAGGCATGTGTCATGAACTAACCATACACATTCCTTTAAAATTTTATTTTTGCTATAGAGCCCATATGCGTACTGGAGTGAGACAGAGGGAAAGTGAGAAAGCACCTGCCGCCTAACCCCCACCCCCCAGGTTGCTTTCCCTTCTCATCACACCACGATCCCCTTCCCATCCGTTCTCCTCTCTGAACTTCATGCACACATGCACACTCACCCCTGCATTCCCAAGCTCCCGGGTCTGAGACTCGAACTGCATAGTCCACCGTGTGGGATCTAACCACCTTAACCACCATGCCACCTGCTGGCCCTATACTCCAAATTTTTTTTTCTACCAAATGAGCTCTTAACATTTTATTTTCCTTTCATGATGTGAGGCCACATCATCTCGTGCGTGTGCCCGAGAGAGAGAAGAAAGAGAGCGAGCCTCCCTCCCCAACGAGGCCTGGTTACTCTGCCACCTGCTCGTTCCTCCCGTTCGCCTTCCCTTCAGGAACCCTGGAATGGAAGCTGCTGGGATCAGAGCTCAAACTCTGGTTGGCCGTGAGGTTCTGGCTTCCTCCTCACCACGGTACTTCGGGGCCAGCGTGGAGTTAGAACTTTGATTCCCTTTTCCACGAACTTTTGAAGTCCTCTTGAATGTAGATATGCTAAAAATACCCTTTTCGGGAGTCTAACCACCTTAACCACCATGCCACCTGCTGGCCCTATACTCCAAATTTTTTTTTCTACCAAATGAGCTCTTAACATTTTATTTTCCTTTCATGATGTGAGGCCACATCATCTCGTGCGTGTGCCCGAGAGAGAGAAGAAAGAGAGCGAGCCTCCCTCCCCAACGAGGCCTGGTTACTCTGCCACCTGCTCGTTCCTCCCGTTCGCCTTCCCTTCAGGAACCCTGGAATGGAAGCTGCTGGGATCAGAGCTCAAACTCTGGTTGGCCGTGAGGTTCTGGCTTCCTCACCACAGCACTTCGGGGCCAGCGTGGAGTTAGAACTTTGCCTCACCACGGTACTTCGGGGCCAGCGTGGAGTTAGAACTTTGATTCCCTTTTCCACGAACTTTTGAAGTCCTCTTGAATGTAGATATGCTAAAAATACCCTTTTCGGGAGTCGAAGGATATGAAGCTAACATTTGCTAAGATGGATTTCTGCGTGCTCTAATTTTAGCATGAAAGATGTGAAACTCTATTTGGCAAACTATTATCCAAATAAAGTTATAGCAGAAAAAATGAATTTCTTAGGTTCACTTCATGAGCTGATCTTATTCAGCTGTGATTACATTTCCTGCGTGTCGAGCATTTGGGAACTGACGCTCATTGACAGGGAATGAATGGCCACATTAAACGAATGTCCTTTTGAGCCGTTTTCAAGCGCGAGCGTTGCTGATTGGTTTTGTTTGCCTATTCAGTGGAGAGAATAATTCTTTGTGGCTGATTTCATTTTAAGAGGGCGATGTTGAGTGATTTTTCATAATTTAAAATATAAGTAATTATGCTCCCTTGTCTATATGTGACAGGAACTTAGAATCGAAATTTTGACTCTTGTTTCTCACTGACTGCATATTGCTGCTCAGAGTGTTTTAGACAGGTGTGGTGTGCTGAATTCTATGTAAATCAAATATAAACTTTAAAAAAAATTTTTTTTAAAGTGACTGTTGTGTCTTTGTGAAGCAGTGGGGAGATTGTGATTAAATTAAAAAAGGATTCCATTTTTCTTTGCTCCTACTCCTAAGGCAGTGTGAGAGAGAAAACCCACAAGTGATGCTGGACTTGTAGCTGTAGTATGGGTATACTTTTTAAAAAATCAGTTATCTGAGGGGCCAGTAAGTAGATGGCCTAGTGCTTACGTCTCTGGACTCCCATGTGGCCGACCACGGTCAGAGTCTCAGGCCTGGTGGCTTGCAACTCACGCCAGACATGTGTGCACGCATGCCCAAAATCTCAAGAGGAGAATAGAGAAGGGATTGCGGCATGGTCTTCCCCCAGAGAGTTATTTCTCACTTTCTGTCTGTCTCTCTGGTGAGCTCACATGCCCTATAGCAAAAATCTCTCTTTAAAAAAAAAAAAAATTGGTTATTCAAAATTTAGTTAAATAGGAAGACATATTTGTTTCCTATTGCTAGTTCACATTGCCCCATTGTTTTTGAGATGTTCCGTGTTTTTTAGGTTACATTATATGGTTTAAATGTTTTCCTGTTATTCAGACCTTTTATTTTCAGTATGAATTTATATTCTATAAAATCAGCAGATGTACTAATAGTTACCTTAAGTGGGAACCTGCAGGTGCCATTGTGGTTAAAGGTTCGAGTCCCGGACCTGGTGGTTTACTTTTCCACTTTCTCTCTCTCTTTCTCTTGCTCTCATTCTTACTCTGTCCCTCTCTGGTCAAATAAATAAATAAATAAATAAATAAAGTTAAATAATTCTTAAAAAGAACAACAGTTACCTAAAGTGACGTCCAAGGACATTGTACTGAGGAAGGCGAGCGGCTTTGCTTCCGGCCCCCCATACAAGCATGCGTGTGTAGGTTATATTCCCGTGAGTACAATGTAGGGGCGTGAGAACATAAATTGGGGCTGGCTCCATGGCCTGGCGGCTAAGGTCGCCAGGTCCCCCCGACTGACCGCACCGCTCAAGATCTGGTGCCCAGGGCTTGAAAACGCCGCGCACGTACATGCACACGCAGTCTCTGCGTGGGGAGAGATGGAGCAGGGCGATGTGACCTCACCCCCTTGGAGGAGCTCCCTCCCTCTCTCTGTCCCTCTCCTGAGCCTCCATACCTTCTGGCAACTTCAAAAAGAAACAAAGACAAACCATGGCTGCTATTTGTTAAGGTGATTAGCGTTTTAGTATGGACCGCGCAGCTGGCGTTGTGGTAAGCTCTTCTGTCCGTCACCGTCCTCACTCCTGCCAATCTCCGAAGGTAGGAACTGTCGTGAAACTGAGGCTCAGAAGGGTTCTGTGGCTTAGCGAGGTTACGCAGTTAGTAAGGGAGCCGGAGTTTGAAACCAGCCCTTCTGACGGTAGCGTTTGAGGTCGTAACCACAGTGTGATGGGAAGAGGATGGACCGGGGCCGTCTGTCATATTAAATCTTCACTGGGGGTGATCAGTCCCTTACGACAGTAACGGAGCATTGAGCATAGGACAGGCTAGCAAGTGCCACCGTCACAATTTGCTTCAAGAAGTCGTATCGAGAATGGTGTACCTTTCTACTAAGTTAAGAATTTCCAAGGAGGATGGTGTGGCTCATAGGTGAATTACTTACAGTAAAATAGCCAACGTTCAAAATCCTATTGAGATTATGAAGAAGTTTCTATGTTAGGCAAACAAACAAACAAAAAACTTAAGAAATCAGCAAGAATGACATTATGACCCACATCCGTAAATGGCACAAACATGGAGGCAGTACAGATATGCTCAAGGAGATAGAGAAATAGGTCTTGGAAGTAATCGAATAAATGCAAATTTATACTTTTGGGTTGTCAGAAATGTCATCGTGCATTTTTTGCATAGAAAAAAATACATCATGACTTTTCCGACAACCCAGTGTGATGTGGTAAGCATTTTGCCTAGTAAATCTGCGAAGAATTATAAAATGTTAACACTCAGAGCTGATGGCATTAAAAAAAATATTTGGATAATTTTATTTATTTTTATTAATTTTATTTTTGCTATAGGGCACATGTGCTCACGAGAAAGAGAGACAAAGCAAGCCACCAGGTCCAAGATTCGAACTGCAGTCGACCTGTGTGGGAGTCCAGCACCTTAACCACCACGCCACTTGCCGTCCCAGAGCTGATGACACTTAAAAGTCATATTCAGTGAGGACCAGCCAGTGGTGTGGTGATTGAAACTGACTGGATCCCACATGGCTGCCTACAGTTCAAGGCCTGGACCTGGTGACTTGAGAAAACATGCTAGGCACATGTGTGTGCATACACAGAATCTCAGGAGGAGAAGGGATTGTGGCATGGCTATTCCCCTGGGGATGCTTTCTCACTTTCCTTCTCTCTGTCTCTGTCTCTTTCTGGGGAGTGCATGTGCCTTATAACAAATTAAAATAATAATCAGTAAATATCGTTCTTTGTTACCACAAGTTTAGTAAGTACAAAATGTACATATTTCTTTTTCTATTGTATTGGGAAGCATATTTTATTAATATGCTTACTAATTATGTTTATTAATGGCTATGTTTTATTACTATGCATATTAATTTTATTAATAAGCATATTTATATCAATCCGCATACAACAAGAGAAACTTTTTGTTTTACTTTTTTTATTAACTACCAAAGAAAATCATTAATAGCTGTTGAGCGGAAATGTTGATTTAATATTTTCCTTAAAATTATTCACCATGGGGACCAGCAGTTGGTGTAATGGCTGTGTCACTGGACTCCCATGTAGTCGACCGCAGTTTGCGTCTTGGACCCGGTGGCTTAAAAGTCACACCGGGCGCGTGTGTGTGCATGCCCAAGATCCCTAGAGGAGAATGGAGGAGAAGGGATTGCAGTGTGGCCATCCCCCCTGGGGGGTGATTTCTTGCTTTCTATCTCTCTGTCTCTCTGTCTCTCTGGCAAGTGCACGCACCCTATAACAAAAATCTCTCCCCCCCAAAAATAAATTATTCACTGTGAGCTAAATGTTCGATTGCCAATCCATTGCAAGCTTAAATTGCATAATAACCTGTCAGTAACATGATTGGTTATGTATATAGGTAGGAACATGTGTGTTTTATGTGTGAATATTCTGCAGTTTTTCCCTTGGTTCATTACACTTGTGAAAGTAATGTAATTTCTCTGTTTCTTCACTGTTAGAGATTCCCTGATAAGTTGGAAAGTAGTCTTAATTCAGAAAACTACAAAATGGTGGCATTTTTAGATTAAAGGCTTAATTTCGTTGTTTTAAAGTGTGGTTTATACCTGCGACTGGGCAAGTAACTTCAGCAATGAAATTGTTTTACAGGTACTCACAGTTTTATGCGGAAGATAGCTTTTGCCACTACAACATGTTTAACCATCATTTCTTTGATGGAAAGGTAAGAAGGATGACCGTGGTCACTTCTCTTGCTGTGGAATGACACATTTAAGAATAACCGCCTTTGCCGTTTTTCTAAATTCCTTCAGGATCACAGTCTGCTTGGTCTACCATTTATTGGTACATTTATTCACTCATTGAGTGTCCACTGAGCAGCTACAAGTGCCTTCGTTACTCTTCCTCATGGCTTGTCCCTGCTTTTTGCATGAAGAGCCACCTTCTTACCCGGATCCGCCAGCTCTGCATTGAACTGGGTCACTCTCCAGCCTCTCCTCTCCCCGGGCCCCCTTTGTCACCGGTGCTCAGGCCCACGACATTCCAGCCGGACAGGTGCCTTTCCACCCAGGCCAGGCCTCTGCTGCTCCACCCTCCTCCTCTCCCTGGACTGGATAACTTCTGCTCATTCTCAGAGCTCTGCTCCAGTCACCTCCCCATGCCTCCTCTGTCCTCCTGCAAGGACTCGTGCCTGTGGAGATTTGCCATCTGTCATGAAACGCACGTGGGGGAGTGTATGGGCGATCTGTGCCATCCTCACCTTGCTGTGAACCTAAAAGGGGTATATAAAGAAATTCAGGTGCTTAAAAAAGAAAACGAGCACGGAGGATTAAAAAGCAGCGTCCTTCATTGTGGTGGTAGTAACGTCCCTGAGAATAATCAGCATTGCCGAGCTGGTACCCAACTCCCGGGCTGAGCTCTTAGCTAGGCCTATTACAAGAAAGAGTCCATAACCAACCAGTAATCACGCCCAGCAGGAGGGTGGGCAGAATGTCCTGCACTTGTCAAGAAGACGACTTGATGGGTCAGGCAGTGGCTTGGTGGTGCACAGTTCGAGTCCTGGACCTGGAGGCTTAGAAAACATGCTGGGAGGATGGGCATGAGAAGAATGGAGGACAAGGGATTGTGGCATTTTACAGCTGTTGAGCCATGGTAACAGATTCCTTTCTAAAAGCCAATAGCACCCACCCCTGGGGTGCTTTCGCATCTTCCCTTGCTGTCTCTGGCTCTGGCAAGTGCACACACCCTATAACAAATTTTTTATAAAAAGGCAACTTGAAGCAAACCTTTAAATATGTATATATTTATCAATTTTTTCAAGCTTGTAAATCACGCTTATCTGTATCCTGCGCTTTAAGATATTAGCTAGTGACAATGAAAATGAAGCAAGACTGAAATAGTACGCATTCGATTCATGAGAACGAACACTCGGTTGTTGGCTGGGATCGAACACAACTCTGACTTAGTAACGATAGCACTCCTTTCATTTGAATCAGTTCAGCACTGGGGTATACCTTTTTCAGCTGTGATACCTGTTACAGCCAAGTCCTGAAATAAATAGCAGTTAGAATTACATGTATTCTGTGTCCCCCAAAGGGTTTGCGTGACTGATAATCGTCAGGGTCCGAGAACTGATCAAATGAGCGCAAAGAAGGAGAGAGTGGAAGGAGAGTTAAGTGACTGTCAGTGCTGGTGGCCTCGGCAAGCGCGAGTCTCCCTACGCGGTCAAACGAGGACCCTCCCCGAATCACGAGGGGCCACTACACCGTCATTTCTTACCAGGGGAAAATTCTTGAATATTTTTAAAATTAGGTTAAGAGTTTAGGCAACGTTCACGTGTGTGTGTGTGTGTGTGTGTGTGTGGTGGTGGTGGTGGTGGTGGTGTCTCACCATCCTGCAACCCTCCTTCTCTGTCTCCTTAGTGGCTGAGACCACTGGCTTAGGCCATGTCACTCAGCTCTTTAGGGTGGGCTGGGAAGTGAACCAGGGCTTCCTGTGTGACCAGCATGTACTCCTGTTCCTGGGCCTTTTACTTTGAATTTTTAGGGATCTGAAGGTTTTCAGTCTCATCGTCTCAACTTTACGTTCTCGGTCAGGGGAGCAGGTTAAGCAGGTAGCAAGCAGGATTGAAAAGTGGCCGTGCTTCTGGACACATCTCCGCTGTAGGAGTTCCAGCAGGAAGTTAGTAAAGACGGGGAGAAGGATTAGGGTGTTAACAGTTTTTTTCTCTCATCAGTTGTGTCTTCTAAATTGATTTAGTCATTCAACAATATGTTTTATTGTAAAGTACATCGAGGCATATTAATGTTTAAAATACCACTAGCCTTTAAAATCTTACCCATTTTGTATACTGTAAGCTTCGATTTATTTATTTTTTTAAAGAGAAATTTTTGCTCTAGGGTGCATGTGCTCAACAAGGAGACAGAGACAGAAAGTGAGAAATCACCCCTCCGCCCAGGTGCAATCCCTTCCCCTCCATTCTGCCCTCAGGATTTTGAGCACGCACACACATGCACTCGGCATGAGTTTTAAGCCACTGGGTCCAGGACTTGAACCATGGTCACCTACGTGGAAGTCCAGTGACATAACCATTACGCCATCTACTGGTCCCAGTTTTGATTTATTTTTATAGATGAGCACTTGAAAACTGCTACCAAGTCGGTAGACTAGATAGATACCGTTATAGGTGTGTCTCTCATTAGCTTCAGCCAAAGCAAAAAAGGGCAAATATCCTAGTAAAGTTAACGTTACCATGACTAAAAACACTTAATTCAGGCTGCCGTAAAAGGCTATCAATAGCATGTTTTCACGAGCATGTTTTCACAACTAGACAAACGTCCTTTGTGGGTTTTCATTTATTTGTCTTTCAATTCTCACGCCCCGGCTCAGAGGCATGTGTGTATGTTATAAAGTGGTCGTTACCCCCTGCTCTAAACTGAGCTCATGGCCGTGGACAAACAAGACCGGAAAACGCTGCCTCCTCCCCCTCGTACCCCTGCTTGTTTGTTGAATTGCATTGAACATTTTAGATGTTTCTGTGGGTAATGAGTTTCTCTCTTTTAGGTTACTAAATTTAGTTTTTTAATGTAACCATTTGAAATGTGTGGTCTTCTGATAGCGATGGTGTTTGCTTTTGCAATTTTAAAAGCCTGCTTATCAAGGAGCCCAAAGATAAAATCTTGCAGGGCGGACTAAGAGAGGCTTCGGGATGTCACCGAGGGACTCGGCGGTGGCGGGGTGACTTGGTAAAGTTGCCAGTCCAAAGAGTGAAACTGAGGCTAATGCATTCTCCTCCAAATAAGATGAAGGGCCTCTCTGCGGTCCTAATTTAGAAATGCACTTGTTCCAGGCTGCCCTTGAAGTATGCAGAGCGTTTCTGCAGGAAGATAAAGGCGAAGGAGTCATTATGGTGACAGATCCTCCTTTCGGTGGCTTAGTCGAACCTCTGGCTGTTACATTCAAGAAGTTAATTGCTATGTGGAAGGAAGGTCAAAGCCAAGGTGTGTAATTTATTACTTACTGCAAAACAAACGTGTATCTATGTATCTGCTTCCTGTCACATCCTGGCCCAGCTCAGTAAACCACCACCGATGGAGGGCACACGTCTTGGGTTCTTCTCTGTTCAATCGGGCTCATTTGACAGTGTGACAAACTTCATTACCACAGTATACTTTGTGTTATTCTTTAAATTTTGTGTTTTTAAAATGGCTTTTAGGTGAAACCATTGTTTTTGGTGGACTATGGGAGACGATAGGGAGCAGGAGTGAAACGTTCATTCAGTAAATACGAGTGGCCGGCAGGTGCCTTTGCACCGGGAACGGAGTGGTGACCAAAGCAGACACTCGGCTCTGCCCTGTGGACCTTCCAGTCCCTGCCTGTATTGCCTCGCCCAGAGCTCTAAGGAGCACCCAACTTCGGGCCCAGAGCTCAAAACTTTGCCAAGACTTGAGTCTGGTGTTAGACCACAGAGGCAGAGAGAGTGGTCAGTGACAGATTTGCAGCCTCAAAGGCTACGGGGTTGTCATTCAGGGTAAAGTGGCCGAGGACCTCATAGTGTTTCATTTACTGGGTCATCGGAAAAGTCAGGATGTGTTCTTTTGCTTTTCTGTGCAAAGACGCGTCGTGGCTTTTCCGATGACCTGGTAATTACGAAACGCGTGCAGTCAGTTTTTAGACGCAGCGTGTAGTTCTCAAGGTCAATCGGAAGCGTGTCAGGAATCGTGCGATCGGGTTTCTCTGCTCATCGTGCTCCGTAAGTAGAGTGCTCTGGGGACGGGCACACACGTAAGCTGACGCCTGGCCCACGTGGAGACGTATTTCACGTGCATCGTCAGTCCACTGGTCAGGGTGGGTTAAATGAGCATCCGTGGTGACGCAGTGAAGAGCCGGAGGGCTCGAGCCCCTGCTCTGCTCTTACTCGCTGTGTGGACTTGACAGCTGCAGCCTCGGTTCCTCGTGGCTACAGTGAAGTCCTGAGCTCTGACTCCGGGCTGCTGGAAGGAGGCAGTGCTCTGGGGGGATAGCTGTGGTCCCCGTCCCTCGTAAAAACTAATTTTGATTACTTTTTTAAAAAAAATATTTATTTGTTTAATTCCATTTATTTTTATTTTGTTACAGAATCATTTTATTTATTTATTTATATTTGACTAGAGAGAGAGAGAGAGAAAGTGAGAAAGCAAGCCTCCAGTTCTAGAACTTGAACCATGGTCGGCCATGTGGGAGTCCAGCGCCCTGAACCACCATGCCACCTGCCGGTCCCCCATCTGTTGTTATTATTTATTTATTTTTTGGGCGGGGGAGAGATTTTTTCTTATAGAGCATGTACACTTGCCAGAAAAACAGAGAGAGACAGAGAGACAGAACGTGAGAAATCACCCCCAGGGAGGATGGTCATGCCGCAATCCCTTTTCCTCCATTCTCCTCTTGGGATCTTGGGCACGCACGTACACGCACCCGGTGTGAGTTTAAGCCACCTGGTCCGGGACTTGAACTATGGTTGACTACGTGGTGGTCCAGCGAATAGCCATTACGCCAACTGCCGGTCCCAAGAATATTTCCCTTAACCTTGGGGAAACGCGAGGTTGTCAGTGAGACCCTGGAAACAGTCTCTCTTGGGGAGCGGGACTCAAATGTACCGAGCACTTGCGGTTTCTCCCAGTACCAAGAGTTTTCAGTTACAGCTGTTTGTTTTATTTTTATGTGACATCTCATTTTTATTTAACTTCTTGTTTCTCTCTTCTTTTTTGTAACCCACTAGATGACAGTCACAAAGAACTACCCATTTTCTGGATTTTCCCCTATTTTTTTGAACCCCGAATTTGCCAGTTTTTTCCCAGCTTCCGCATGCTGGATTACCAGGTATTGTAAATACTCTTTTCTCTGGTGTGCTTGTGGAATGGATATTCTGCTTAAATAAGTATTCTGGGAAGATTGCTCAATGACCTCAGTAAGTTAAAATACCCCGAACTGTATTAAACACTGAAATACACCATATGTGGTTTAATCCGTGGTTCCTAAATGCCTCAATCCCTAGGGTTCTTGTTAAAAACAGAGATTACTGGGCTGGCCCCGTGGCTTGGTGGTTAAGGAGGCGAGATCCCCCATGGCTGACAGCGTAGCTCAAGTCCCAGACTGTGGCTTGAGAAACACGCTGGGTGTTGTTTGCATGCCTCAAATCCTTAAGGGAGGGGTTGTGGCATGACAGTTCCTCCTGGGGTGCTTTTCCCCCCCTCTATCTGTTACTCTGTCTGTCCATGTCTCTCTGCTGCCCTCTGGCCAAAAAAAAAAATATATATATATATAGAAATGGATGGATAGCTTCTCAAGTCCCAAAATAAACCTGCCAGTCAAAATCAAAGGGTAAACCTCCAAGGACAAAGTGTTGTTTAAATGTTCCTTTTAAAGTGTATTACTTCCATGAGAGAGACAGAGAGAGAGACGGCATCTCCACCAGGGTCTCCATGCCACAGCCCTCCCCGCCCCACCCCGTCCTCGTCCTCGATCCCCGCACAGGAGGCCGTGGGCAGTGGCCTGGAGCCTTCCGTGAGTTCCACGGAGGTGGCAGCGTGTCCTATCTTATTGCTGTGCCACCGTCCAGCTGCTCGAGGACGGATACGTCACCTCACTCCCAGGTGAGCAGAAGCAGGAGTGGGGCTCGGTCTAGACCCGCCCACCCACGGGAGCTTTCCCCAGCACCAGAACATTCCGCGGCCCCCAGGATCAAGAGTAGCACCAGAACATTCCGCGGCCCCCAGGATCATCCTTATGGACGTCAGTTGTTTCCCGTTCAGAGGTCACAGAAAGTAAATCCCTTTCTCCGGTTGGCGGAATGCCAGGTACACTGGTGCTGTGTCACCCAGAGGTCGCCACGAATCTGAACAAGGTGTTCACGGCTGTGTGGTGTCGGAGCAGGCGCCGTGGCTCTGCGTGGGAGTGGCTGGGGTGGGCCTTCCTGGAGTGCGTGGACCTCGTCCTTCTCAACTGCCGGTGCTCTTTCCCCACGTGGGGATGAGGCTGGAGGCCGTAGCGCTACTCTGTCCCTTCGGTTTGTCCTGAGTGTCCCCTTCCCTGTAGTTGCTTCTTTGGGTTCTGAAGTTGCCCTCATCACCCACTCTGCATAGTCACCAAGATGGCATTGCTGCATCTTCCTGTTAGGGCCTTTTTCTATTTGAGTTTCTGCAGCCTCCGATCCAGCCTTTCCAGCCCTGGGAGCTCACCAGTGGCTGCAAGCTAGCACTTGATCCTAATCTTGAAGCATGTGCCATTATGAAATTATTTTACAATTCCAGAAGCAACAAATGTTACCCCAAATGAGGGGACAAATCCCACCTGTGATTCCACCCGAAAGCTTTTGAAATCATCTCCTTTAAAAGCACTGTTCATGCATTTGTAATGACAGAAGTCCGTATTGGATTCTTCCTGCAACGTGTCTCTGTAAGCGGGCGCTATTAAAGGCAGCTAAGTGATCTCCACGCTTCTGAGAACTCCCCAGGATTCCGCTGACAGCCTGTGTTGCTGTTCCGGCCTTTGGCCTGTAGGTGGCACGTACCTTTGGAGTACTATGAACATGTCTATGTATATACATTTTTCCGTATTTTACATGACTTTCTTAAAGTAGATGTCCGAAGTTGAGATGACTTTATTAAGTTTAGTGGACATTTCTGTAGCTGTTGAACCAGGTTTACAGGCTCCTTTCTGAAAATGAATCACACACACCATTTTAACCTTGACTTCTTAAGCTCTGCTTCAGGCAAAATCTCCCTCGTAAGTCCTCTTAATGGTTCCCAGCCTGTTCTGGGGCATTCGGTTTCTGTTCCTTGTCTGAGGGGAGCTTCCAGCATTGACCTTTGCAGTCCACAGAGAGCTGGCATAGCCGAAAGGTCTTCCTGCGGAAACTGGTTCGGTTTCCAGGAGCACCTGCTGTCTTCAGGTTGAATAGTGCAACGCTTGACACGTGGTCGAAGCCCTGTGTATGTTAAGTGAATAACTGAGTAAAAAAGCATGAACTGGGGCCAGCAGGTGGTGTGGTGGTTAAGGGCACTGGACTCCCACATGGCTGAGTGTGGTTCGAATCCCAGACCTGGCAGCTTGCTTTCTCACTGTCCTTCTCTCTCACTCTGTCCCTCTCTGATCAAATGAAAATAAAGAAATAAAAGTTCAATAAAATAATTCTTTTTTAAAAAAGCATGAGCTTCAGAGTTGGAAAGGATCGGGTTTTAATCCTGGTTCTGTCGACTGAGAGTGGTAGTAATAGGGTGCCCTGGCAGGTTTGAAGTATGTGATGAGAATGCATGAGCAGGGTTGGCCTGTTCTTACACCCAGGAAGGAAAGGGTGCTGCTCATGGCATCGTCGTCTCCCTCACGGTCATTGTCATCATTCGGGTTATCCTAAGGTGAGAGTAGAACTCTTCCTCAGTTCTTTTTTTGGGGTATAATATCTGAGATATTAAAATTGCATAACACAGAGCCCCAGAAAACTGCCAGACCCGCATTCAGGATGGATTGTCACGATAGGTAAGAGTGGAATCATGAGGGGCCGAAGAAGGCAGGTCCAGGGCACCGTGGGTGGGAGAGGGGATGTGGAGTTAGTCACCAACTCTCTCTCTCTCTCTCTTTTTTTAAGAGGTTTTTGCCGTAGGGCATGTGTGCTCGCCAGATGAAGAGAGAGAGACAGTAAGAGGGAAATTGAGAAATCATCCCCCAGGGAGGATGGCCATGCCACAATCTTGGGCACAAACACACATCTAGATGTTTTTCAAGCCACCAGGTCCAGTACTCGATCCGCGGTCAGCCATGTGGGAGTCCAGCAACATGACCGCTCCACCGTCTGACGGCCCCGTCACTAACTCCTGCACCTCTAGGCAGCCTTCATTCCTAGGAAAGAATTTCTGGAACTATTGGAGTTCGGGTTTTGCAAGGTAGTCACTAAGTCCAAGCTCCTGGAAAATAATTTCACAATTCCATGTCATGGTGAAAAAAGGTTCTGATTAGGTCGTGTGAAAGCCAGCCTTTAAAAAGAAAAATGAGAGCCAAACCCACAGACACAGCACATCTTAGTTCTCCACGCCTCCTACCCCTGGGAGGGCGGAACCGCCATTGCTGCTCGTGCTGGGCGCCGAGTCTCCGTCTCTGCCGATGTGTTTATAAACCGTATCTATCAGACCGTTCCTTGGAAGGCTTTTTGACTTCCTTTTCAGTTTTTGAACATTTCTCTGGACCTGTTATTATTCTTACTCCTTTCTGAGCCTTTTGCTTTCTTTCGTTACTTTAACTTCATTCCAAGGCATGTTTTCTTTTTCTTTCCTATTAGCCGCCTTCATCAAACGAAAGATCGGAGTTCTCTCCTCCTTCACGGATCCTGTTCCCAAAGACCTTGATGAGCTTTTTTCCTGACATTGCCTAAGCTGAGTGTAAGTCCTCAAGCCACAATGCAAGGAGCAAAACAAATCAGAAATCTCTTTTTTAAAAGTGCTATTGAGGAGAAGGCAGAAATGCTGCAAGCCTTCGTGAAATATAAGTTATGAACGCTCTTCAGTCATAAAGGACTTGACAGTTAAACCGTAATCAAACTCCCAGAAAAGCGAGACTTTTATTAAGGACAGGTTGGGAAGGGGGATTGTGATAATGCAAAGAAATTCTGATTTAGAGTCAGAAGACCGAATCCTAGCACCGCCTTTTAGAGGCTCTTTAACCTTGGGGGAAGTCACTTTATCTACCCGGTCTGTTTTCTCACCTATGAAATCAAGTGCTTCAGCCAGGAAAGGAATGGGGGGTGCGTTTCACTTCAGGGCTACGTCGGCTACATTGGGAGTGACTTTTGGGGCAGTTTGTTGAGAATACCCGGTTGAGTGGCAAAAAGTAACTGATTCGTGATTGTGAAAGTAGAAGGGATTGATTATTGAAGTCTGCCACAGTGGGCAGGGCCAGATGGTGGGGTTCACGTCCCGGATTGCCCGTATCCAGGTCCGAGGAGCTCTTATCCCCGCCATCTTGAACATCCTGTTCTCTCATTTCTACTTCACATGGGACACTTGTCCAGAGTGTTTATTTTTTTAAAAAAATTATTCTTTATTTAATTTTAGTCATTGTCATTATTTTATTCATTCATACATGCTTTCTGAAGTTGACCGGAGAGAGACAGAGAGAGAGAAGGAAAGCGAGAGAGCAGGCTGCAGGTCTGGAACTCGAACCACGGTCAGCCATGTGGGAGTCCAGCCGCCTTAACCACCACCCACCTGTTGGCCCCCGGAGTGTTTAATGTAGAGCCCTTTGCTATTGTTAAAGCTATCCTTTTAAAAAAATCAATTTATAGAGGAATTGACAAGAATTTCTGGGAAATTACTACAAATTACAAGATGGCAACTGAAATTCTCAAAATTCAGTCTGTACTAAACGTAAAACATGGAGTGGGTGAAGAGGGTAAGACATCTATAGGGATTTTAAATAAGAAGTGACATGGGATATGGGGACTCTGACCTAAAAGCCCTATTGCTCTGGGCTCTGGTAGAAGTCTGGGGCCGGCAGGGCATGGTGGTTAATAACAGGCACTGTATTCCCGCATGGCTGACCACAGTTCAAGTCCCAGATCTGGCAGCTTGCCTTCTCGTTTTCCCTTTCTCTCTCTCTGCTTAAATAAATAATAATAATAACACATGGAATTGGACCAGCAATTGGCGTAATGGCTATGTTGCTGAATTCCCATATAGGCAACCGTGGTTCAAATCCCGGACCCGGTGGCTTAAACTCACGCCGGGCACGCATGCGCAAGATCCCAAGAGAAGAATGGAGGAGAAGGGATTGTAGCGTGGCCATCCCCCCTGGGGGATGATTTCTCACTCTCTCTCTCTCTGTCTCTCTCTCTCTTTTCTGGCGAGCACACATACCCTATAGCAAAAACCTCTCAAAAAAAAAAAAAGAATTAAATAAATAAATCATAAAAATAATCTAAAAAAAAGAAGTATGACTGATGGGTGGACTTGGGCCCCTCTTATGCACTGAACTTAAATACCACGCCGCCGTAAGGAGTTACGGCGATCCAAGGACCGTCTTCTCCCATCTTTGTGTACTGATGCAATTCCTGGAACATAGTAGGGGCCAGAAACACGTCGGTCGATTGGAATGTTTTGGTCTCCACAGCACTGTTGATAGTTCCAGCGTCATGTTACGGAAGATGTTTGCGGACAGATACAATGAAGAGGCAGGGCAGCAGGCCCGAGATTCCGTGCTCGCCCTCATTTCTGTGCAGTTCTTCCTCACATTAACCAGTTCATGGGAGCGATCATCATCCTTGCCAGTGGAGTGTCAGGGATAATGACGGGAAAGTGGCGTCTCAGCTCCACCAGATTCGCAACTTGCAGGATTGTGTTTGCTTTACAGCACTTCCAGAGGAGGTTTATGTGTGTGATGGAGCTCTGAAATGCCCACGTATGTTCGAGGTACATTAATTCACGCATCATACAGGCCGTATGTTTATAGTTAAGTAGCACAACAACCCTGCATTTAAAAATAATCGTAATCTCAATTAGGTGATGCAGAAGCGAGCAATCGACCACCTTCCTGACACACTCTCTCTCTGACCCCTTGGGTAAGCATAAAGACATTCTTCCTTCCTTTTCTCCCTCCCCTCCGCTCGCTTCCGTCTGCTGTTTATTATACAGCACAGACGCGTCCTGTACTAGAACTCTTTGTAAAATATTGTTTTGCAACATTAGAAAATCTTCCTCACGTTCTCTTGGGAAGAATTTGTTTCTTGCGATACTCGTAAATGTTCAAAATGCCTTCGCTGCGTTTAATCAGGTCCCTGTATGTTTGTTGAGTTCACAAAGGCGTGCGTTAGGGGGAAATTGTGAATTTACATCATTTTAAATGAAAACGACTTACTGTGCCATTTTAAGGTGATTTTGGAGTGGCATCTATTTTGGCGTCTTAGCCGCTGGTAGGTCACGTGTTCGTAGGGTTTCGGCGTTGAAGAGGAGCACGCAGGTAGGCGACGCTGTCCAGTTCAGCACTCACCCCTGCCGACCCCCTAACTGCACTGCCCTGGCTCCACTGGAATGCTTCCGGTTAGCAGAGTCCAGCAGCCCTCCCGCAGTTCAATTTATTTAATAGCTCTGATCGTTAGGAAGTTTTCTCACACTGAAATAAAATATGCTCCCTATTAACTTCTAACCATGGGCCCTAGTTCTGTCCTCTGAGGCTGCAGAGGGTAAGCCCAATTTCGATTCCGTCTGACAACTCTCCAGTTAGAAGAAGTCATCTGATCCTCCCAAGTTTCCTGCTTTTCTGAATCCACAGTCCCGGTTGGTTAAATGATAAGTCTTATTCATTCCTGTTATTTTCAATAGACACGAACTGGTTTTGCCAACGTCTTTCTTAAAATGTGACCGAATGTGGGACATCCATTGTGACCTGACCTTGGGCTTTTCTGGTCACAAGACCCCACTTCGGCATTGGCCTGTGTGAACCAGCACCGGCTCTCACCAGTCAGGCTGGACCGGGGCCTGGCATGCCAGCAGCCGCCAGAAACCCTGGATGGTGGTTTTTCCACCCTGACCCCTGGGCCTTCTTGTACCTAGTTTTTCCCACCCTGACACTTCTTAGTGAGGCTTTTTGATACAGCTCACTCCTCCGTCCAGCAGGCCTGGGTGTGAAACCAGACAGGACCACGGCGAGCGAGCCCAGGAATAGGCCGTTAAAGGCTTCTCTT